GATGAGTAACCATACTTGGCCACATGTCACGTCACTTCACTTCAGTACTTTTTGTATTGACTTGTAATAAACATGTTATATTATGGCAATCACTTATTACTCTGGTGTTTTTCATATGGTTTATATCTGATACCAGCACAGTACTTTTTAACATGTGTGTGACTTTCAAACTTCCACGGTATTTTTAAACACTATCGATTGCTTTCCGTCCACTTGTATTATTAAGTGTTTGTGTTCATATATTTTATGATTGTTCTTAAGTGAGTTTACATACAGAGGAATAAATTCACTACACCATTTACAGGTGATGCTAATCATTTGTCATAGATTTGCATCCTCACAGCTGGTCACGGTCACGCGTGACAGAGCAGTGAAGCAGACGGCCAATGAAAACAGAGCAGGCCGCAGACGCCACAGCGCACCGCTCACTGTCTGAGTTATAGATCCACTGGGAGAAATACACACTACATAAATACTAATACTCGCTCGCTCTCTTTCTGTGTTTGCCTTCCTCCTTCTTCATCAGTCATCTGCAGACGTGATGATTTGTGGGTCATTTGGCTAAAAGGACATCATTTATTATCTGACAGGTTTAACGCAGTTTGAACTGCTCTGAATCAATCACGTGAAGGACTGTTGGGTCTCACAGAGATACTTATCATGGATTATGTTTTTTTGAGGTTGAATACAAGCATCAAAATCTCATGTTTCAAAGAGGAGATTTCTGTTTTTTTTTAGTTTTGAGTTTTGGTACAGTAATATAAACGCTTGCAAAACTCTCAAAAAATCAGAATTTTGATTCAGTTTAATTTTTGTTTGAATTCGAGATAATTCAATGAGATTTAGTTCAGTTCAGTTGTATTTGTTTTGCTTTGAATTAGATTCCATCTAATCCAGTTTGATTCAGTTCGATTCCTTTTTGAATCTGATTCATTTTGATCTAGTCCAGTTCATTATTGTTCAGTTGGAGTGCCATGTACAGGTAAATGTAATGAAACTGAATTTGATTCACATCTTATTCATCTTGATTTGATTCAGTTCAGCATTGTTAAATCCTATTATACAACCCTGTTAATCCAAAGGCAGTGCCAATTTGATTCAGTTTAATTTTGGTTTGAATATGATGTAATTCAATCAGAATCAGTTTGATTCTGTTATATTTATTGTGATTTGAATTCCATCTAATCTAATTTGATTCTGTTTCAATTTGATTCACTTTTGAAATTGATTCTGTTTTATTTGATTTGATCCAATGCAGTACATTATTGTTCATTTGGAGTACCATGTAAATGTAATTATTTTCAGAACCATAGTATGTGATTTCATTTGATTCGATTTCAGTTTGATTCACATTTGAGTCTGATTCGTTTTGATTTGAATTGATCCAGTTCAGTATTGTTCAAACCGATTTTATCATTCAAATATATTATACAATCAAACCTGTTTTATTATTCAAATACAATGCTAATAATACCTTGGAGTACCATGTAAATAAAATGGATGAATTTCAGTATCAAAGTATCTGATTTAAGTTGATTCACATTGTGTATTTTGATTTGATCTGATCCAGTTTGATCCAATGCAGTTTTGATTCAGCATCTGTGAGACACAGCAACCCGTCACTAACATCAACAGATCTGGTGTACATAGAGACGGTGAGATCTGTCAGATCTGATTTCTCACATCTTTACTGGAAGGCCTTGAGTGTGTAAAACACGAGAAGCTTCTGTTCTGTGTTCAGTATTAATAGCCGTCTGATCTTTGAGAGCTTGGATCAGTGGACGGTAGTAAAGCATGTCTTTTTATTGCGTAAAGGTCTCAAACCATTCCTTTCATGGTAGTGGAAATGACAAAGAACAGCAAGATCTGTTTTGCTTCAGCTTCCTGCACAACCAGCTGCGTCAACTCATTTCACCTTTCGTTCAGCTGTGCAGTGACCTTTGACCCACAGTTTGATGATGTAACTGATTGAATGGAGTAAAATGCACATTTCTATGGACTAACAGGTTCTAGTAGCCTGAAAGTCACAAGGGCTAAACTAAATTCAGTTAACCAAGTATTGCATGCTTTTAATTATTAAATGTAATTTATGTATATGTTGCTGTGCTGTCTGTGTTCAGGAGCTGTATTATGAGGACAGGCATTATCACGAACACTGTTTCCGCTGCTCGCGCTGCAGCTGTTCGCTGGCGGACGAGCCGTTCACCTATCAGGAAGACGCCCTGGTGTGTAACAACTGTTACTGCAATGAGTTTTCATCTAAATGTGTGGCCTGTGGGAAGACTGTGATGCCAGGTACAGTTCCTAAACACACATACATATGCTGTTTTACTGTAGTAAGATTTTTTTTTTTCGAAATAAATAGTAATAATTTTACTCAGCAACTACGCATTTAAATTGACCAAAAGTGACAGAAAAAACATTTGTTATGTTACAAAATATTTTTATTTTAAATAAATGGTGTAATTTTGAAATGTATATTCATCAAAGAATCCTGAAAAAAAATCACAGTTTCCGCCAAAATATTAAGCAGCTCAACTGTTTTCTATGGAAGCTTGTTTCTTCCATGGAATAAAACATTTAAAAAGGTAATTGTGACTTTTTATTTCACAATTCTGACTTTTTTCGCAATGATGACTTTTTTCTCAGAATTGCAACTTATGTCCTCGCAAATGTGAGTTTATATCTAACAATTCTGAGGGGGAAAAATACTGAATTGTGAGGTATATACTCAGAATTGCGAGGATGTCTATAAACTCGCAACTGCATGAAATAAACTCACAATTTTGTAAAAAAATTAATTAAAAAAAAGTCGGAATTGTAAGTAAAAAAGTGAGAATTGTGAAATATAAACTTGGAATTGTAAGTAAAAAAGTGAGAATTGTGTGATTTAAAAAAAGTTGCAATTGCATTTTTGTATTTTTTATTCTTCCATAGTTTTCAACATTGATAACAAAAATGTTTCTCGACCATCAAATCAGCATATTAGAATGATTTCTAAAGGATCATGTGACACTGAAGACTGGAGTAATGAGGCTGAAAATTCAGCTTTGCATTACAAGAATAAATTACATTTTAAAATGTATTCTAACAGAAAACAGTTATTTTAAATTTTAATAATATTTCGCAATAATACTGTTTTTACTATATTTTTAATCAAATAAATGCATGAGACATTCAAAAACATTAAAAAATCTTACTGACAGTTAGACAGATGATTAGATAGATAGATAGATAGATAGATAGATAGATAGATAGATAGATAGATAGAGACTAAAATAATTTCTTTCAATTGAACTGAATTGCAAACAGACAATCATATTCGCTGTTGTGTGAATGTCTCAAGCATCACAACTGTCTTGCATGTAATTTGATTGTACCAAACTGTACAGACCACAAACATACACACAACAAATATGAAACCTTTCAGGAAATGAAGTTGAAGTGTTTCTCACTCTGCCTGTTAAAGCAGAAACTGAGTTAATGAGTTTTGAATGGGCGTCAGGGTGCGGAGTAGAGATGTGACAGTGTGATTACAGACACGCTCAGCTGAGAGAGAAAGCCTCCGGCCACACTCACGCACACGCCTGCAGGCCTGACGCCAACACTCGGGCGTTACGTTACCCATAATTACACTCCGCCGCCTGCCTCTGTCTCCCTGGAGCTTTTCGGAGAGAAATAAGAGACAGGGAAAGTTCCAAAAGGATAAAATTACAAACTGAAAGTGGCAGATCTCTCCTCCCTCGTTCATTCAAAACAGACCGGCCATCTCAGTCCCCCTCTGGGTCATTTTCACGCTCATTCTCAGTCATTATACACGGATCAGGTGAGCCGTTTTCCCACCAAACCTGGATGTTGCATCTGCGGCTTATATATTTCCAGATTCCACATGCATTTTTATTGAAATACCAGCCTTTGTGCCATTTCCAGCCTACGATTTTGGCACGCCTCAAACAACTCCCTCACAGGAGGCTTGTGTAGATCTAGGGCAGTCCAAATGTACACATAGTTGTGTGGCATGACATCATGTGTAGCCTTTAGCTTTGTAGTTGCTAGTTACTTATCAGACATGATCGGCCATCCGCAGCACAATAAAAGCACTTAAGGAAAACCTGTGTAGTGAATAAACAGGTGAGGCTGTTTTTCAGAGGAAATCCATTGCAGACAGGTAGAAGCACATTCACTGATTGTGTAATTATGCAACAAGCTAAAACATAAAAAAGCTATGAAATAAGGTTTAGCTCTGAAATATAAAAACCCCAAGAATTCAAAATAGCAGTTTTATGGCTTTCAGTTTATGTTGTTCAAGTCTAATCTAGATGCTAGTATTTTTACTGTAGTATAATATTTTTAAATTAATTTTAGTATTATTATACTAAATATATATAGTATAATCAGTTTACTTTGTCATTTTAGTACTTCCACCAAAACTTATTTTCAGTTAGTTTCCAAGGCAAATTTTAAGTTTAAGTTTATATATATATATATATATTAGTGCCGTCAAATGATTAATTGCAATTAATCGCATCCAAAATAAAAGTTTTTGTTTACATAATATATGTGTGTGTAATGTGTATATTTATAATGTATATATAAAGACACACACATACACAACACACACACATATATTATGTAAACAAAAACTTGATCACTTAATCGCGATTAATCATTTGACAGCACTAATATAGGCCTATATGTATATTTATATATATATATTAATTGCGACTTTTTATCTCACAATTCTGACTTTCTCGCGATTGTGAGACTACATCTCGCAATCTGACTTTTTTTCTCAGAATTGAAACTTTGTATCTCACAATTTCCACTAATGAGCTCACAATTGGGACTTTATATCATGCAATTCTGAGGAAAAAAATAGAATTAGAGATATAAAGTCGCAATTGCAGAAAATGTACAATTGTGTGAAAAAAGTCAGAATTGTGAGATTTTAAAGAAGGTTGCAATTACATGTTTCTGTAGCAGAAATGGGCTTCCATGGTTTTTAACACTGATAATAATAAATGTTTTTTGAGCAGCAAATCATTATATTAGAATAATTTCTGAAGGATATTGTGACACTGAAGACTGGAGTAATGGAGAAAAATTCAGCTTTGCCTCACAGGAATAAATTAAATTTTTACAACATATTCAAACAGAAAAAATTTAAACACTGTAATGTACTTCTGAAAATGGAAAAATATTAATATTAAAAAATAAAAATATAAAAAATATTAATGACGCATCTTTTAGTCATTTTTAGCTACGTATTTCTCAGTACAAATATCTAAAAATGTTTGCAACAATATCTTTTAAATTGAGATGGATGGTTGTTTTTGTTTGTTTTCTTTTATTTGCTTTTAACTTGTTTTTTCTTGTTCATCTTGTTTTATCAAATTTATCTTGTTTCAAAAATGTTAAGATATTTTAACTGGAGAATAAGACAAAAATACATGTTAAGAATTTTTTTGAAGAGCTCCCATTAGTTCAATGCTTTGCTTAATGTAGATGTCTTCTCAATGTAGACAATGTGTTTAACAGTTTGTTTTATATGAAATGATTTCGATCTCTCAGGCTCCAAGCAGCTGGAGTACGGAGGCTGCGTGTGGCACGAGGAATGCTTTGTTTGCTGTGGTTGTGAGCAGCCCATTGGCGCCCAGTCGTTCATCCCAGATAAGAGCAAGTACTACTGCGTGCCCTGTTACGAGGGACGATTCTCCCCACGCTGCGCCCACTGCAAACAGGTGAGATGAATACTGTCAAGAAAGGTTCTTTAGTGGCATTGATGGTTCCATGAAGAACCTTTAAAAAAGATTCTTTATAGTGGAAAAAGGTTCTTTAGATCATTATAATGTTCTTAATAAATGGTTCTTTTAAGAACTATTTAATGACATTTCCAAAAATGGTTATATCACTGCAAAAACCCTCTTTTGGAGCCATTATATTTAAGAGTGCAAACTGCACATATCATAATATTAATCTAAATATTGAGTATTTTTGCGTTTATTCCATTTCTAATCAATAAATCATATGCCAGTGAATTAAAGTGTTTTTGTTGGTCTTTTCTCTTACAGATCTTGGTTCAGGGTGGTGTTACATATAGAGACGAGCCCTGGCATAAAGAATGTTTCTTGTGTACGGGTTGTAAAGTGCAGCTCGCCGGACAGCCTTTCACAACGCAGGGTGAAGATCCATATTGTGTGAAGTGCTTCAGCAACCTGTACGCCCAAAAATGCTCCGCCTGCGACAAACCCATCACAGGTCAGTGAAGAGCAAGACTGCTCTTCATTACCAGTCTCTACAGCTGCTAACAGAAACGCTTTGTCAGAAACAAGAGACAGTTGTCACATAAACAGGGTCATGTGTTTGGAAGCAGATGGTTCCTTCACAATCTTGAGTCAGTCTGAAATAGTGTTGCTTGTTCGTTGGGAACCCAAGAGTCTAAATCCACCGGGTTGTGAACTATGAGTCAAGACGGGGTCAAATATCTAGACTGTTTATGTGTTTTATTATCTTAAAGTCATACTAACCTCAAAGCAAGTTCTGAAAAAGTTGTGTTTGCCATTAAAGAGATTTTTTATTTACTTTCCCTTATTTCATACCAAACTCATATAATTTTGTATTTTCTGTAGAACACAAAAGGAAATGTTATGCAGAATGTTCACGCTGCTCTTTTGCATATAATGAAAGTGAATGGGGACTGGGACAGCCAAGCTCCAAAAGTAACTAAAAAACACTGTAAAAGAACTATAAAAGTAGTCAAACAAAAGCTGTATGACTTCAGAAAAATATAAAATATAATATACAGGTCGTATATACACAGTTTTTAGTTTGTTTGTTTGTTTGTGTTTCCATTTATGGCGCTCAACGCCCCAGTCCCCATTTACTTTCATTTTATCGTTCAGAACATTCTGTCAAATAACTTTTGTGTTACAAAGAAAGTAAGGTTTGGAATGACACTTGAATAAATCATTTTTGGTTAACTACACTGTAAGAAAAAAATCCTTAGAAAAACAGAAAGGGAACTTGTAATTTTTTTGCCAGGATATTATTCAATAAAACTACACTATGTAACTTTAAACAAACTAAATTTAAATAATGAGTACATCATAAAACCCTCTTCCAAACTGTGTTTTGCCTTACCCTATCACTATAGTATGACTATAATAATTAGTTATATTTTTATTCCTGGATTTTCAGAGAAATTGCATACTTTCATCATTCGTCCTTGCCCGTTTACATCATATCCGTAAATAAAGGAAATAAGGAAAGGCTACTATACTACTACTGTATATGCAGCGGAAGTAGCGAAGCCACAACAGCTGAACCTCGAACCAAAAACAGCGACAGTAGGCCTACCCGTAATAAAACACGAATCAACATCTTTTGCTGTGTATTGGCTAGGTTCACAAAACAATGTTAATATGTTGGTATAATGCCAATCTCTAAACCAGTTACTACTTTGGTCTATTTTCCTATTAATAGCCACGCCGAGTTATAGTTTCTTTCAACGTTATCTGATATGAAAAAAAAATCGTTATTCGGCCTTGTGAACGTTGTCAACATTGCCAAACATAGCTTATTTTAAAACTTGTTCTCAACAAGTCAAAATAATGACATATAAGCTGCTTACCTGCTCATATCCGTCATATCCAGATATCTGTCTTTTTCACTCCGTTGAGAGAGTTTTGATGTTGTTAGTGAAATTCACAGAGATAAGGTGACCATCTGTAACCAGCGGTGTGTCAAGACACCAGATTCATCCGCGCAAAATATGGATAAAACATAGATGAATAATCAATATGGAAAACTGACATTAATACAGTACATTGTGCCCTATTTCTACTGACTTTTATTAGCGTGTAACCATTTCGATCTTTAGAAACAGTTTAAACCATGTTTAATCATGTTGTTTTAGAGATTGTAGAGACCACACATCACAAAGAAATACCTCTGAATCTTTTCCTCAGGTTTTGGAGAAGGGAAGTACATCTCGTTTGAGGAGCGTCAGTGGCATCAGCCGTGTTTTAAGTGCTCTGAGTGCTCGGTGTCTCTGGTTGGAGCAGGATTCTTCCCCGACGGAACAAAGATTCTCTGCAAAAGCTGCAATGCCAAATAACCCACAAATGCTTCTTTTAAATGTTCTAAAGCTGATTGTGAACAGACCTTTGTGTAATATAAATACAATATGAAACATTTGACATCATTTAAACATTGAATGTATAATGTACATTAAAGTTTTGGTGTTGCATTCTCCCAAATCTGGATGTTAAGGATCTCTAAACTAGAAGGACATGTTTGATCAGGTTGAAGCATTTTATGGTTTAAATTATGAACTCAAATCATTTGAACCAAACAAGCGTGCATGCCAAAGGCTCAGATTCCTGAGATGTTGTTTTTGTCATTAGTCTTTTGAATTTACATTTGAGTAATTTCCATCTGTTTGCATAAACGTCAGGCCTTTTAAATTCCCTCCAACAGCAACATTCCTCAACAAAATTTACATTTGAATGAAACACTGACCCAAATGATTGTTAATATGTGAATGCATGCATTCAACGAGACTTTAAGCTTAAGGACTGAATCATGTAATGATGCATATTGACAGAATATGTTGTTGGATAAACAGTGAATTATTTTAATGCACCAATGCATGCTTTTAATAATTCTCACATGAAATATTCACATATTAATTCCTATATATGTTGCTTTCAAAATAATATTTTTGATGATTTTTACAGACGTTTGATGCATTTTTGCACATGAATGCCTTTTGTAAAACTGCTCCTGCGGTTGTATTTCCTTTCATAAAAATGTGTGTAACGTATATATGAGAACTTTCAAATATCATTTAAGGTTCAGTCAGATTATGTTTTCCAAAAAGCATGGATTTAACTAACTAATGAAATTTCTGTGATAAAAGATGTAAAGGTTAAACTAATCTGGCATATATAATGCCACCCTAACATTGCACTTTCTGTCTCCTATGGACAAGTCCTCCATGTGAAGTTAATTCTAATAATTGCTTTTAGTTATGCTTGATTTTAAATCTTGTGTGAAACATTTATTTTTACTTCACTCTTTGTCCCTTTACCAGATGTAAAATTTCTGACAAATGTTTTTCCCAAATAAGGGCACGCAGCACTAAAAAAATTACGATGGAAAATGTCATTTCCTAAAATGATTGATGCCAGAAGGTTTCTCACCGCAGGAAGTCGAAGCACAAAGAGCAGGAAGTACAGGTGGTACCTTAGTGTGGATGTAGTGGTCCCAGCAGCTCAGTACTTGAACAATGTCACACCAATCACTGTGATCAGATTTTCCACACACATCCAGTGGAAAATATGGGCTGATGTAGCCTGTGATCCTTAAAAGGTGCGGTCTGTGATATTAAGGTTTTCCAGGAAATGTCTTCATGACTCTGCATTAGATACAAAATATCAGATCAAGTGTCTGTACCTACTCTTAAATGCTTTTGTCTTCACTAACTCCACATTTCTTCTTTATTTTTGCTCAATGTCTTTTAATAATCTGATGATTCTGTGTTTTTTAGTGGATATATAAACCCAGTTCACCTCAAGTTCACACAGGTGTCTAGCAGGTGTAGAGAATCACATTAACACTAACTAGAAAACACTAATTCTATTGTTTTATTATTTAAAACAAATGCAGCTTGGTTTGATATTTTGTTATATAATGCAATGACAATCAAATCATTTTTAAGAGTACAAAAAAGCATGGATTTAACTAACTAATTAAATTTCTGTGATAAAAGATGTAAAGGTTAAACTAATCTGGCATATATCATGCCACCCTAACATTGCACTTTCTGTCTCCTATGGACAAGTCCTCCATGTGAAGTTAATTCTAATAATTGCTTTTAGTTATGCTTGATTTTAAATCTTGTGTGAAACATTTATTTTTACTTCACTCTTTGTCCCTTTACCAGATGTAAAATTTCTGACAAATGTTTTTCCCAAATAAGGGCACGCAGCACTAAAAAAATTACGATGGAAAATGTCATTTCCTAAAATGATTGATGCCAGAAGGTTTCTCACCGCAGGAAGTCGAAGCACAAAGAGCAGGAAGTACAGGTGGTACCTTAGTGTGGATGTAGTGGTCCCAGCAGCTCAGTACTTGAACAATGTCACACCAATCACTGTGATCAGATTTTCCACACACATCCAGTGGAAAATATGGGCTGATGTAGCCTGTGATCCTTAAAAGGTGCGGTCTGTGATATTAAGGTTTTCCAGGAAATGTCTTCATGACTCTGCATTAGATACAAAATATCAGATCAAGTGTCTGTACCTACTCTTAAATGCTTTTGTCTTCACTAACTCCACATTTCTTCTTTATTTTTGCTCAATGTCTTTTAATAATCTGATGATTCTGTGTTTTTTAGTGGATATATAAACCCAGTTCACCTCAAGTTCACACAGGTGTCTAGCAGGTGTAGAGAATCACATTAACACTAACTAGAAAACACTAATTCTATTGTTTTATTATTTAAAACAAATGCAGCTTGGTTTGATATTTTGTTATATAATGCAATGACAATCAAATCATTTTTAAGAGTACAAATGGCCAATTTTACCTCAAGAGGTCCAGAAACAAAAATATGAGGATGAAAAACATGAGCAGACATAATCTTTCCAACCTTCTTTAAAAACATTAATCTGTAGCCGTTAGTTTAAAAAAAATTCTCATGACTCTTTCCTTAGATGCAGCTGACCCTGTTTATAGAAATATGAAAACTGTGACTTAGTTTGTCCCAGGAGAGACTCTGGATCCTATTCAAGCTGTACTCTGGGGGTTTTGGTTAATCCTCAGCGGACAAAACATTTCTCCTGCTGTCTCTGTTAAAACCATCTGAACTAAACATTGTAACCACCGAGTCCATCATGTGTTAAATACAGCAGTATCTACTCAAACCATCTATGCGTGAAAATGCAAACCATGCATTAAAATGCTGATCCAATTAGGGGTACAGGCATCATTATTAATAAGTTTTAAAGATTTTAAGAATCCAATTTAAAAATTATTTTCCAGACATAGCACTTACAAAGAACCATTTTTTTAGCTACACTCTAAAAAATGCTGGGTTAAATATAACCCAGCGCTGGGTTAAAAAGGGACAAACCCAGCTATTGGGTTGTTTTGACCCAGCGGTTGGGTTGTTTTGACCCAGCGATTGGGTTGTTTTGACCCAGCGGTTGGGTTGTTTTGACCCAGCGATTGGGTTGTTTTGACCCAGC